CCATGAATAGAATCAACAATAAATATGGATCCAGGCTCAAAATCAGCACCTTGATACGAGGCTTTTTCTCCATTCAAACCCAGGTTTAAAGCCTTGCAGGGCAGCCTAAAGCCCACTGCCAACATTAAGACAGAAAAAAGAAAGAATCAACAATCGTCCAAACTGAACGATTGTTGTTCTCTACTTCAAAAAACACTTCAGAGTTTAAAATGGAAAAATGTTAATTTTTTTTATTTAAAAAGTAAATGTATAACATTAATGCATAAAAACCTGATTTTCTATGTTAAATTCTGCCTAAAGTAACAGATTATAATAAAACATGTATCTGGACCTTTACTGGTTGTTGATTTTCTTTATTAGGACCCCGTTGGTTTTATATTGGTTACCCCTGGTCTAGTGTGTATATTAGAAAAAACAAAATGTTTCTCTTTCTAAAAAAAGTTGTTTAAAGAATATTGAGCTTTTTCATGGTACAACAACCAAAACATACAAACCTTGGAAATATGCATCTGTCAGCTCAGTGGTGGGAGAAAAGCCCGAGCTGTTGTGTTTGGAAACAGCTGGACTTCCCCTTTAAGTTTGGGCTCTGCAGCCAACTTTCTAGATGGAGGGGCTGGACTCTCTCTTTGTTTTTGAGCTCCCAGGAGAGAGGAATACAGCAAATGTTGGGGATATTTAGTTTTCTCTGTTCTCATCTTTATGCTCAATTGACAGCTCCACAAGAATTTCTCTGTCATGTTGAGGAGTTAGCTGGAGTCATTGAGTCTGAATGGGCCATATTAAGGACCTCCACTGCTAAGTTTGAACTTGCATACAATAAATAAATGGATAAAGATGTCCCTTACCCTTCCGTTGCCCCTCTACAATGCAGCCCTTGTCCATTTCCACACAGGGGATAGACATGCAGTTCTCCAAACGCCCGCTTGGGCCACAGCTGCACATCTCATGGCAGCCAGCAGCACCATCGTGGGTCGGGACTTGAATTAGAGCATCCTGCTGCACCAGAAACTCAGAAGCCTCCCCCATTTTACAACCTGGAGACAGACTAAAACATCAGACACTAGGTGGAACACATCAGATGGCAAACTGAGAGTAGGAGTCCATCCTACCTGGAACACAGATGTATGGCTGACAGCTGGTGTCCTCCAAACATCCCTTTCTGTTGACCTGGCATAAGTGGTTGCTTGGACATGGATTAGGGTTGCATGGATGGATGATCTCTTCAACGATGCTGTTTCCTAGTGAACTGGGTGCTAGAGGGACAGAAACCTCAGTTAGTCAATGAAAATAAGGGAACGAACACGGGGGGAAATGTAACGCATCTGGTGTGATTCACAAATAATTTCTTAGCTGTGACAAAAAGTAGGTATTAGATAGAGTCCGAATATTAGGGCCACGCTAGATATTTTTTTTAAATATGACAATAAAGTCACTACATTACGAGGATAAAGTCTTATTATTTTGATAATAAAGTCGCAACATTGGGAGAATAAAGTCATAATATTACAAGAAAAGACACGTGTGGTTCTTCTCACACCAGTCCACAATGTTCATGATGACCGATCCATTGAGATTGAGAGTATTCTAGTCTAACTTCAGCCGTTAGTTTGAAAGTATTCGAGGCTAACCTTTGCTGTTAGATTGAAATTATTCTAGGCTAACTGTAGCCGTTAGTGTGAAGGTATTCTATAAGGGGTGGAACGGTTCACAAAATCAACGGTTTTCGGTTCGGTATATGTTTATTGTTACACCGAAAAATAAAAAAATGTATACAAATTAAAAAAATTAATGAAATTTTTTTAAAATGAAATTAATGAAAAAATCCCCCCCAAAAAAAGAATTGTAATTATTTTTAATGCTTCGCGGAAACCCTGGATCATTTCCGCATGTTTTGCTGCTTTGAATTTAATCATCTCGCACATGCCCTCTACGATCTCCAAGGAACTCAAAGCGGAGCGGACGGGAGCCACAGTGGAGGCTGTAGGCTTTGCTTTGTGCAGGCGGTCTGGAGCGCAGCAGAGTGCTGACGGAGTATGTGGGATTTCGGGGTTAGCATGACATGTTGGTAGTGTTGCTGTTAGCATAAATAAAACGTGTTGCACAATGCTTGCACACTGTTGCACTTTTATCCACAACTTTCTTTCCGCCGTCATCGTAGAATGACGGCGGAAATTACGTAGAATGACGACTAAATGCAAAGTGGTCCCAAACAGCAGACCTATAAAGTGCTGCTGGCGCGTCTTCCAACTCCTGTTCTTTCCCACTCGCCATACCCACACAATTCTCCACAACAACTGATTTTTTTCTGCTACATCCGGCTAAGCTTCTTCGCTTCATCTTCTTCTTGTTTACTACTGGTGGTTGGCTTTGGTCGCAGTACCGCCACCTTCTGTTCTGGAGTGTAAACACTTCGCCTATTAGGAAATGGAGCAGCGCATGAACCGAACGCAACACACGCGAACCGAACCGAGACAGTCGAACCGAACGGTTCGGACGGTTTTCATAAACCGTTTCATCCCTATATTCTATGCTAACTTTAGTCGTTAGTTTGAAGATATTCCAGGGTAACCTTAGCCGTTAGATCCTAGGTATTCTAGGCTAACTTTAGCCATTAGTTGGAAGGTATTCTGGGCTCATTTTAGCCATTAGTTAGTCCATTAGCTCTGAATAAAAGATGCCATAGAGAGTCACAGAAAGCAGAAGTTTCCTCTGATATAACAACTCTGAATTTGAACTTATCTGTGAAAGTAACAATTCCGTTAATGATAGGAATTCCATTCAGTTTGTTCACAGAAATGTTCAATTTAATTGAACAACACCGTCATGATCGAACCCAATACTACTATCAAGCCACTCCTTAATCAGTGTTATCTAATATTTCTTTTCTGGGCTAAGAAGAAAAGAACCATGACTGTTACTCAGATGTCCAAAACCCTGTTTCTAGATGTGGGCAAATCTTGAATTTAATTTGGAAATGAAACTCCCAGAGTTCAGAGTCCATGTTGCTTGAAGTGTAGTGAGTGTCTTCCACCATCAGTGATGGTTTGGGGGTATCATGTTATCTCCTGCTGTTGGTCTAGTCAGTTTTAGATACAGCCATCTGTACCAGGGAATTATGGAGCATTTCCTGCTTTCTACTGCTGACAGGCTCAGATGCTGAATTTATTTTCCACCAGGACTTGGCACATGCCCACCCTGGCAAATTCAGCAAAAGGTGGTTCAATTACCATGATGTTCCTGTTCATGATTGGCCAACAAACTCACTAGACCTGAAACTTGAAGATTAGAGGAAGATTAGATACCCAGCAAGCCATATGACATGTGACATGAGCGCAGGTCCACAGGGTGATCACCTTTATGCCTTGGTGCATCAATGCAGTAATTCATGCAAAATATTTAGTAGAAGCAAAATACGGCCCCTAGAGGCCAAAAGTTACACAGTGTGCCTTTAAATATTTGAGTTATGCATCACATAAATAAATACAACATAAATATATAAATAATACATGTTCTTATTTTACAGATGAATGTGTTAGAATACACATTTTGGCCCTTCTCACAGCAGCCCCCCTCCCCCTGGTTGGTGTCACAACCCACATTCAGAGAACCCCTGCCTTAGAGGAAAAAAATAGAAGCACTATAAAAAAAAACAACCCTCAGTACTATCAAGTATGTAGTACACAGGAATGTAGTATGAAGTTTAGCTAGTGCCACTCAAGTGTACAAGAGGGCCAGGTGGTCTGTTTATTGTCAGCAGGGGTGTTAGTTTGTGAAGGTGGGAAGCATGACTGGAGGGAAGGGGCTGGATGTGGTCGGCTGCTGGGGGGATGGGATGTGAGTCTCCGACTGGAGGGGGGGGTGCTTTCACACATCTGAAGAGGAGCATTTCCTGTATGTTTATTCAGACTGAAGTAGGAAAAACAGTGCCAGGGGTGGAGGTGGATTCTAAGGCAATGCATCTTGCCTTCTTCTGGACTTCTCCAGCATAAACTAACTTAACACCTGATAGAATGCAACCCACAGTGCCCTGTGGATGCTTTCACAGGACGCTTTCAAACGTGGTCCCAGTAGAAGCTTGCGAGCAGCTGAGATGGGAGTCCAGTAGCTTTCAGCGTCCTGAGAAAGAAGAGCAATTGTTGGGCCTTCTTCACTCTGTGGGAGGGGCTCTAAGCCCAGGAGAGGTCACAGGAGACCCCAGTGTCTGGGATCTTTATGCTCTCTTCAGTGCTTCCCATAGAATGGGGCTTGTTCATTCATCTTGCCCCACATGTTATCCATTTGGTCTCCCTGATGTTCAGGATAAGGTGAAACTTTTAACACCAATGTGTCAGATTTCTGACCTCTTCTCAGTGGTGTCATCCACTCTGAAGCCATGTTTTTTGTGTGGAAAGCAGAACTCGAGAATAAAAACCCCCGAACACACTAAAACTGACTTTCTGACAAGGTAGTGGCCTTAACCCAGCTTTTAAGTCTGGTTATAGAGAGGCACTAAGAACAGCCAACTTGAACAGTGCCATCAGATCAGCGAAGCAGAACCACAGCCAGAAGATCCAGGATCTTTTCCACAACGCCAGCAACACCAGGAGGATGTGGTAAGGCACACGGGTGATCACAGACTACAACACACCCTCTCCCCCGGTGGGTGCAGCGGATGCTGACTTCCTGAATGAACTAAACAACTTCTTAGGAAGGTTTGATGACATGAGTGCAGGTCCACAGGCTGATCACTTTATGCCTTGGTGCACTGATGCAGTAATTCATGCAAAATCAGCCCCAACAGAGTACTGCATGGAGATAACTGGACATGACTGACATTTCTCCTGAAAACATCCATTTTAATTGTTCTAATGTTATATTCAGAATTCCTGAGATACAATATCTGTGTGGTATAAACCTATGAAAGGAGACCTCAGCAGAAGACCCCTCACGCTGAGCTTAATTCCTGTTTAAAGTTTTTTCTTTTTACTTTTTAACTGTCTTTTCAAGCATGGATCAATATAAGCAACTGTTCACTGGCTCTACTTGGTCATCCAAGAGGAGCATATACTACAAAGTCAATGGTTGATGCAACCAGTTTTCCTCAGATAGAAAAAGTTTAACAAATTTGACTGGAGAATTTGATTGAATTAGACGACATATTGTGAACTGGTGCTATATAAATAAGTAGAAGTAAACTAAAGTCTGAACAACAGTCAGTGGATCCAAGCTTTTAAAAAGAAGCGTTTCTTATGTTACTCTTAAGGTTGTGAAAAAAAGGTTGTACTGTTTCAGAAGGTGTGAAAGATGTGAAAATTAGGTGTAGATATCTTGTAAAAAAAAGTAAAAACACCTTTAAAATAATTGAAGAATCATAACTACTCTGATCCAAATGTTAATATTTTGATGAATGACTTGTTCAAAACTCGAAATGACATGCTTGGGATACGCTAAGACTGCACACGATTTTAGCAGCAAAATAGTTCCTGCTGCTTCATTTCTATTGCTTGCATTCTTCAACTTTTGACTGCAAAAATTATAAAACAAGTAAATTTGTCTTTAAATATGTGTATTTGCCCTTCATTTGAACAGGTGACAAAAAATGTCCCCCTAAAGAGAGAGTACCTTTAGTAAGAAAAGACAATTATATAAAGTGTCTTTGAAACAGGACTCTGTTTTCCTTATCTCATTTTAACTGGATAAATCCTATTCCATTTCCCTTTCCTACTTAAATGAAGAGCAAGTTCACTAATTTAAAAAAGAAACACTGAAAAAAATTCTTATCCACTCTTTCTCTCTTACCACCCTTTTCCTGTTTGTTGCTTACGATTTTACTCCCCAAATAATGTTCAATAAAGTTTAACACACAAGAATAAAGCAGAACCTTATGGCATCAGTCATAATGGTCTGCTTGTGAATGCAAAGCTGTTGGACTGCCGGCTCTGGGACATCAATTCCCAGAGCTGCAGTATATCGGCTAAACAGGACACAGAAGAAAGAAAGAAATAATCAGTTAAAATAAGTTTTGCAGGATTTGACTGAAGGATTTATTTTTTTCACTTGATTTATGACTTGACTTGAGACTTTGGGAATAAGTGGCTTTCAAAACAACATGGTCTGACCCCTTGGAAGTAGCAATAAAGGTGCTGCTGGGCGAATAAAATAAATCTAATTAGATCACATTGAAATGTGACCACATGAAGGGAAAGACAAGACTTTTTGCCAGTGTTCTGATGTGGAGAGTTTGTAGCGGTGGTGTGGGGGTTGAGTGCACAACCTATGAGCCCTGGCCTCAGTGACCCCGTACCGCATGTCCAACCCCCTCTCTCTACTTCCATTTCCTGTCTGCCTACTAAAAGAAGGGCCATTTCAATGGGACTGTGCCCATTTCTGCCCAGTCTTCCTCCTCTTAAAGGGGGAGGGGGTGTTATATGTTGCAGCAGAAAGACTTAGGTGGCTTGCAGTATTTGATTTAACATCTAACTCAAAAAAGATCTTGTAAAATGCTGATGCTTGGCCTAAAACAGACATTAATTGTAAAATGACTCAAGGATATTTAAATTTCCCTGGCTGTATTGAAATTTATGAAAAGGAGATCCCTTTAGACAGAAGTGGCAGCTGACAGAGTCACACCTCCACACCAGAGACAGAAATACAAAATAGCTAGAGATGAAACAATCATTTTGCAAATCGATTAATTTGTCCAATTTCTTTTTCTATTAACAGATTAAAGTCGTAGGGAAGCGGCTGTTCCAACCGTTGCAGTTCCGAATTCTTCCGAGTGGTGCCCGACTTTACACGAGCAAATAAAGTGAATGTGATTGGTTGTTTATCAAGGGGGTGGGGTTTTGTGGCGGAACGTTTGCAAGCAAGTTTGATTGTAGCCGGTTTCTCTGAATCATTTTGCTAACCAGTTAGCAACTTAGTACCAATGGAATTTTCCATTGGGAAATTCCGTTGGGAACAAGTAGCACTAAATTGGTGACTTAAAAACGACGCTGTCAAGGAACGCTATGGACAGCGGAAACATGCAAGAGGAGGAGAGTTTAGTGTCGGAGGTCGTAGATGAGTCTCCTCCATCATACATTTTTTATTTAGAGGAGGAAAGCGGGGACGAAGATGTTGTGGAAGAGGACGCCAGGGCGGCAGAAGCTTGGTTTGGTGTAGAAGGCTTCCAGCCGTACATGT